AATTTACAAGCTTCCTTACAAAAGGGTGCCTAGTTATTATTATTATCATCATTATTATAATTATTATTTACTCTTACAGTTACGTGATGCGTTTCTGGTCTCAAATTGTAGCTTTTTACTTCTTACAGTTTATAAATGTGTGAATTTCTGTCATGATGGTTCTTTTCCATAACACTGAATGTTGTAACAAAGGTAATAAAGAGTTGGTTATTATTATTAAGTCTCTTTCCGGCTCAGACTGCATTGGTTAAAGCTTATGGGTATGTCACGTAATGAACGAACAACTCGAACCCTTGTCAGGATTATGGACTATTCTGTGTGTGTTTTTGCCCCTGTGACCCAGTTTATTCCTCACGTTGATTGTTAATTTGATCCCAGGTGTGTATCGTTCCTGCTCCCCGAGTGAATTGTGACAGAAGACCCGACCAAAACAGCTACCTCCGTGTTTTCCCCTCCGTTTGTTTTCCGTGTTTTTTCTCTCAGTGTTTTTGTTTCAGTTGTGTGCCCCTATGGATCCCATCCTTCGCCCCGAATTCATCCTCCTCCTGCTGGAGCAGGGGGAAAATTCGCTCGAGGGTCATACCAGACTGTTTCAGGCTGTGGCCCATCTCACCACCTATCCAGACGACGCGCTCTGCGCGTTCTATGACGCCAGCTTCAACCCCGCATGCAGAGCGCCGTCGTCCGAAGATGGCCCTCGAGCGGACTTCACCGCCTTTGTGGAGTGGACACTGGCGAGAAATGTATCTCTGTTCCCCGCCAGTTCCCAGGAGTTCATCACCAGTGCCACTCCCGACCCAGAGCCCAGCCCACGATCTCCCCGATGCGCGGAGCGCATGCCCGAGCCCACCACTGACAGAGAGCCAGAGCCTGCCGCGACCGACGAGCCATCGCTAGAGAGAGCGACAGAGCTGAGGATCGCCGCGGAGCCAGAGGCCGTGATGTCAGTCAAGGTATGTGAGCCTGCAACAACGCCTGCCACGAGGGAGAAAGCCACGGACAGTGTGAGCACAGAGAGGAGCTCTGCCCCCTGCACCGCGGCTGAGGCTCGTCCCTCCGGCTCCGCCTTGGTCTGGCGTCGACCATCCTGCTCTTCGGGACTCCACTCCTCTGGCTTCGCCTCATCCCTCCGGCTCCGTCAGGCTCCTTCATCCCCTCTGCTCCACCTCAGTCCTCTGTCGCTCCGGATCCACCGCAACCTCCCGGATCCACATCTCCGCGTCAGTCGCCGACGCCATCTGCGGACCTCCGGATCCTCCCCGTCGCCCTGGCTCATTGGCTCTCCATCTCCGCCTCGGGCTCCTCCACCACCTGCTCCGCCACCGTTGGTCGGCCCCCTGGAGTCGGCGGCCATTCCTCTGTGTGTTTTTGCCCCTGTGACCCAGTTTATTCCTCATGTTGATTGTTAATTTGATCCCAGGTGTGTATCGTTCCTCCCTTATTATCCTGAGTTTAAAAGCCCTAGTCCATTCAGTTAGTGTTTGTCGGGTCTACTTGTTGGATGTTTCCCTTGTTTCCTGTCTCTACTGTGGATTATTAAAGACTTATTCGTGTTAACTCCAGCGTCTCCTCGTTCCTCGTTTGCTCCCCGAGTGAATTGTGACGATTCGTTCAAAATGAACGAATCGTTCAAGAACGACCCAACACTACAACATATTCTAAAAGGTCAAATAGGAACAGTTCTTGGACTCAAGTAGGTGGACAAAATGGATGATTCTTCGGATGATGATAATCAAGAAATGGAATTCCATGAAGTACGATATAATAAAAGAAAAAAAGGAAATAACATGGGTGATGAGTTTGAATGTGAACAAATGTGTTCAAGTAAAATTAGGGAGACCGAGCAAAGGGTGATAACAAGTAATGAGGATAAAGACATAAAAGTCATGATCACATTTGTCAAACAAGCAGAACAGTATATGCATCCTGTTAAATTATCAACAGCGATAGAAAAAGAAGTAGGATCAGTGAAAGGGGCAACATGTTTGAATAATGGAAGAGTTTTGATCAAGTGTAAGGATGAAAATCAGAGAGCAAAGATACTAAAACTAAAATCACTGGCTGGTGGTAAAATAAGCTGTGCTGAAGTAGGTGTGAGGAAGAGTGGGGTGATTTCAGGAGTGCCCTTGAATGTAACTATGGAGGAAGTAAAAGGAAACTTGATTGGAGGCAAAGTTGCTTCGGTCAAAAGACTGATGATATGGAAAGATAATAAAAAATGTGATAGTCTCTCTATGTTGATACACTTTGAAGACAGTAATTTACCAGTAAAGGTGAAGCTAGGTTTCATCAGTTATGTGGTATGGGAATATGTTCCCCCTCATTTACGTTGTTACAATTGTCAACGCATAGGGCATACTGCTGCTGTTTGCAAACGGGAAAATGCGGTGTGCAAAATGTGGAGAAGAGCATGAGTACGGGAAGTGTCAGGAAGGAACTAAGATGAAATGCTGCAATTGTGGGGGAGAGCACAGCGCTGCATATGCAGGATGTCCAGTGCAACAGCAGGCTTGTGAGATCCAGAAGGTAAAGTCCATCCAGAATTTAACATATGCAGAAGCGGCTTGTAAAGTGAAACAAGTAGCAGAAACAGGAATTCAAAGAGAACAGGTGCAAACTTCTCAGGCGAAAGAGTCAATGAAACAGATGAACTTGTTAAAAAATGACTCAGCAGACAGTATTAACATGAGCAAAACTGATTTTGTGGCGTTTATCTGTGCAGTGGTGAATGGCACCGCACAGGTGGAAAGAAGATCAGACAAAATAAAAATTGTTGTAGAATGTGCAAACAAATTCTTGAATTGCATTGGTATATCAGCAGAGCAAATTCACAAGATATTAAAATCTAAAGAAGGAAAAACGGAAGGAAGCATAACAACAAGTTATGATGCATCTCAATGTAGTGATACATAACATTATCATGTCTTTCCTATTGCTTCATTGGAATGCCAGAAGCTTGATCGCTAATGGGCAGGAGTTTAAAACATATGTTGCAGATATGAGTAAATCTCCTGATATAATTTGTATACAAGAAACATGGTTAAGCAAGTCATTGGATTTTAAGCCTGGGAAAGACATAACAAAACCTAGTAGTTATAGACCCATCGCTCTTACTTCTACGCTATGTAAAGTCATGGAAAAAATGATTGTGAGGCGACTGAATTACATTTTGGAGAAAAGGCAAATGTTATCAACCTTTCAAAGTGGATTTAGGAAAAGTAGATCTACAGTTGATGCTTTGATACTATTTGAAAATGAAGTTTAAAAAGCCTATATAATGAAAGAATACATGTTTGCAGTATTCTTTGATATAGAAAAGGCTTATGGCACTTTGTGGAGGGAAGGTTTGCTAATTAAACTGAATAAATTAGGTATAGGTGGAAAATTGTATAATTGGGTTTTAGACTTTCTATTTGAACGTACTTTTCAGGTTAAAATTGCAGAAGAAATATCAGATCCTTATAACATTCTAAATGGAACTCCACAGGGTAGTGCAATTAGCCCAATATTGTTTAATTTAATGATTAATGATGTTTTTGATCAAATAAAAAAACAGGAATAGGATTAGCACTTTATGCAGATGATGGAGCATTATGGAAGAGAGGACGCAATATTAAAAATGTAGTTAAAGGCATAAAGGAATCAATTAAAAAAGTGGAGGAGTGGTCCCTGGATTGGGGTTTAACATTTTCAGTTTCAAAAACAAAATATATGTTATTTACTAAGAACAAGAAGATTGAACATTTAGATTTGAAGTTGTATGATCAAACATCGGAAAGAGTACCTGTTTTTAAATACCTTGGTTTATGGTTTGATGAAAAATTAACATGGAAACTTTACTTATGCATATAAGTAAAATTGAATCAAAATGTAGAATGATCATACATTGCATGCGCACAGTTGCTAGACACAATTGGGGAGCTAGTCATAGTGCATTGTTGTGTATGTATCAAGCATTGATTCGTTCCTGCTTTGACTATGGATGCATTGTATATGGGTCAGCAACCAAATCTTTACTTAAAAAATTAGATATCATTCAATCCAGAGCATTAAGAATATGTTGTGGAGCAATTAAAACATCACCTGTAGATGCAATTGGGGTAGAAATGGGCGAGATGCCTCTTGAACTTAGAAGGATAAAATTGACAATGACGTATTGGGTGAATCGTCAACAATCAATAAGTACTCATCTCACTCGTAAAGTACTGGAGGAGTGCTGGGAATATTCGTATGATGGAGGATGTAGTTTTGGATGGAAGAGTAGAGTTTGGACCAAGGAGTATGGCATGGATAATAAGATCTTTTGTCCTAATGTACCACTCACTGATGCCCCACTATGGAGAGTCCCTGAACCACTTGTAGACTTGAGTTTACTAGACAAGCCCAAAGGCGAATACATTGGAAAGGAGTTTAATGCTATTCTAAATAATAATTTTTATTCAACATTACAAATATTTATGGATGGATCTAAGGAACCTGTTAATCAAAAGGTTGGAATAGGTGTATATATTCCCAAATTTAAAGTACGAATTAGTTTGAAATTGCCAGATGATTTATCAGTATACACTGCAGAGTTAACAGCTATAATAATAGGACTACAGTGGGTTGAACAAGTCAGACCAAATAAAGTGGTAATATGTTCAGATTCGTCTTCAGCTTTAATTAGTATAGCACATGCGAGATCAGACAGAGAAGATGTATTAATGGAAGTGTATCTATCTTTATACAGATTGAAAGAGGCTGGAATAATGGTATATTTTTGTTGGGTGCCAGCACATGTTGGGGTATCTGGTAATGAAGTTGCTGA